TAGGTCCTCCGCGCCATGATCGCGCGGGCGTCCGTCTTCGCGACAAAGTTGTTGAGGCTATGAGGGGACGCTGACTGTGCAGTCTACATTGTAGCATGCCTGGGCCCATACTCCTGTGCGCAACGCACTGCTTGTTCTTGAGCAGAGCGTGAATCACGGCAAGATGGTAGAGTTCTCCGGCGCGAAGCCCTTTGCTTTAATAATGAAAATCCGCCCCTGTTCAATAGCTCTACTTCTCTATGCCGTCTCGCCAAACCCGGATGCTTCCCCCACTTTGGCCGGTGCATGGCCGGGATGGTGGACCTGCTTACAGCGCGCCAAGACCCGGCGATCCGAGACTCGGGTGGGTGCCCGTCGTGCTAAACCAGATCATTGATGCAAGAGACGAAGTCTGCCCAACAGATCTTCCACGCATTGGATCTCGATTCACCAGTGACGAGCGCCCGCCGCGACGGTCCTCTCCAGCCGAAGATCACCGAGCGGTTACTGCATGGGAGCAGGGGTCTCCTGCTGACAGCAGGCGATTCGAAGCATTCAGAGCATTCCTGGGACACGAATGGTCATATAATCACTGCCAAGGTCGATTCAGCACCAGGGTGAGAGGGGCTGTCCTGCAGTTGGGGTTGGCCGTGGGTCCAAACTCCGCAGTACACCGCCTAAAACGCCGCGGAGGGATCGCCCGACATCGCGGCGTACGCCTGCATAGCTTTGCATATCGGCCTGCTCCAATCCCTCGCAGATGGAGAATGGTCAGTCCCAGGCCCCGCCTGCACCCTCCTCCCCAGTCAAGGCCAGCATCCTGACGCCCGGGCCCTTCAGGTATGGCTTCCTTTGTTTGTGAGCAGGGTCCAGTATGTTGACCACGCTGCCTATATGGTTGTTGCAATAGGGAGCTGTGTATCTGGAGGCTTCATTCTCTTCTTTGATCTCTTTTGCAAGATGGTGTTCCAACTCCCTTGGGGATCAGGAGGCCCCCCATCCGCCGTGCAACTGCCATGGGGCACTCGTCAATCACAGCACCAACACAAACCATTCCCCCCCAACCCTTCCTGAACACCTTCCTGCCCCCGCATCCTTTAGGTCACCCAAGTCCCGTGTCGTGTACAGCGACCGCCTGATCCCCTCCCGCGCCGCCACCTCCCGCCTCGACTACTCGCTGCTGGAGCGGGAGGCGGCGGCGGAGGCCGGGCGCCCCCGCCAGTCCCTGGACCCCGGCGCCGACCCCGGCGCCGACCCCGGGTCGAGTGCGGGGGCGTACGCCCAACTCCTGCGCTCCCAGCTGCTGGGATGCCCGCCGCCTTCCCCCGACCGCGCCAGCGGCGGCGGTGCCGCCGGCGCCGGTGCGGGGCTCGCCCCGCGCAGCCCCACCCGCAGCCCGGCGCGCAAGCTATTCCGGTACATGGCCGGGGACGCAGAGACACCCCTGTCCGGCGTGCCGCCGGCCTCGCCCTACGCGCGCGGCACGCTGGGCGGCGAGGACCTCGCCGCGGCGACCCCGGGGCTGGCCTCGCCCGCGCGGCCGCTGCGCCGCATCCCGCGCGCGCCCTTCAAGGTGCTGGACGCGCCCGGGCTGTCTGACGACTTCTACCTCAACCTGGTGGACTGGAGCTCGGCCAACACGCTGGCGGTGGGCCTGGCCTCCGCCGTCTACCTCTGGTCCGCCCTCACCAGCAAGGTCACGCTCCTGGTCGACCTGGGGCCCGACCGTATGGTCACCTCCGTCGGCTGGAGCGGGCGCGGCAGCTACCTGGCGGTCGGCGTGGACGACGGCCAGGTCCAGATCTGGGACGTGGCAAAAGCCACCAAGTGAGCCCAGGCGGCTGTTTATGCATGTGTGGGTCAGTGTGTGTGTGCGTGTGTGTGCTGCTTGCACATACTCAACAGGGTTTATCCTCAGGGATTTGGGGCGGGAAGATGATATCTCGGGACTCTTTGCCTGGCGTCCCCTGCACCTCCTGCACACTCAGTGCGCCCCCCCCCCCCAGCCCCTAGCCACCAAGTGAGCCCAGGCGGCTGTTTATGCATGTGTGGGTCAGTGTGTGTGTGCGTGTGTGTGCTGCTTGCACATACTCAACAGGGTTTATCCTCAGGGATTTGGGGCGGGAAGATGATATCTCGGGACTCTTTGCCTGGCGTCCCCTGC